GCTGTCCGAATTTTATCTTAGAACCAAAGGCTCAGAAGTTATAAGACACGCCCACCTACTAATTTCTTCGTTTACTGCCATAGATATTTTTACTCTTTTTACTTATTTAAACTACCATAGTTACAATTTTAATTTTATTTTTGTGTGATTCGAAAAATACTGAAATTTTGCTAAAATTTCAATGGCAGTTATTAAATAATTATATGCTGTTTTATAAGTATTTATACAAATATAACAGTAAAAAATAGTTTTGGCCAAAAGAAATAATTTTTTTTTTAAAATCCTTTATGAGAAAATAAACAATTAAATATAACTAAATTCAATTTTGATAATGTCAAAATTATTTCCACCCCAGTCACATCAGATCATCTTGATGTCCTGGAATCTTGTTTTATTCATGTTAATGATGATTCACTTGTTAATGACATTAGTTTCTCACCACCTTACTATAGCGTGTGGAAATACGTTTTACACCGATTTACCCCTCTCAGCCACTGGGGCTTTTCTTGTTCTGATTTTCATTCTTTTTTCTGCCTCGTCTATTGAGGTTTAGTTTATCACCTTATTTTTCCATTTTTCGTTGTCAGCTTTACGTTTTATATTTTAATCACATCTGTTTTTTCCCATTCACATCTGGCAAGTCCTGAAAATGAGCGCCTATTTTTGAGCGCTTGATACATGTCTACTGTTATTTCCAATTTGCATATTTTTGACGCAAATGAAGTTTTAAACCAAGCAATTAAATATAAAGTGCAATTTTTCTTTTGATAGTTATTTAAAAGCCAAATAACCTCACAGTGATTAATTAGAATTTAAAGTTAATAAAAATACAATAATCTATTCCTATTACAGATTTTAAATACTTTTTGACGTTAAATATTTTCCAGAACAGATATAATATTCAAAACTATTTGTAAAGAACATTTCGTAGTCTTAATTACTGAACAATAAACTTTGTGCCTCGTGGACTATCAGTAGCAGATTTTATTGTTCTTCAATTACAGATCGAAACATAGTTTCAAAGTTTTAATTAATGGGGGAATTCCAGTCATATATTTATTAAAAATGCTTGAATGAACTCGTTTACCTCATTAATTTTCTTTCTAAAAACTGTTTCGAAAGGCAAATTTATGGTAATGAATTTCACTTTTATACAGTTTAACAAATACTATCAATATAAATGATAACGGAGATGAAAATAATTAAATATTTTAAGAAATATTTTTCTTAAAATAGATGTTGTTGGCTTAGTTTGATTATTCTTTTGGTTAAATGGTATGCCGTAATAAACTAATTAATTGTCATATGCAAAATATCGAAAGAACTTATTTTAATGGAAATTATATAAATAAATGTCAATATTGTAGCATAGCTCATTATGTGTTTTTGGTAGCAAAATCAAATTTTTCAGAACTTTCTCGATATTATTTTTCATGGATTTCAGTAAGTTAATTTTAAAATAAGAAGTAGGAGTTTTTGTAATCAGTAAAATATCTTTATTTTCTGGAAAATATTTTTATTTATTATCCATTTAGTTTGTGAAGAGAGAAAATCAAAGTTCGTCCCTTTCAATAAAATTTCATTTCTCGATTTGATTTTGTAGACATGATTAATTTAATTAATGATTTAATTTTACAGATGGTACAAAATTTAATAATTTTGAATACAATTATAAACTTGTTTTCTAAAAAAAAGGAAAAATGCATAGATTGTTTTTAAATTATAAAGTGTACAGAACTTTCACACTATTCTTAATGGCGTAAACTTAAGCCAAGAACGATTTTTATGCAAAAATATACGAAAATATTAATTTAATATACTCCGTATAAAATTTACAAAATATTTATACCTTGCTAAATGACGTAAACCTGTATGCAAAAAATGCAATCGTTAAAAGAAATAGTTTAAGTAATTCATTAGGTAAAAGGCTTTTTTCTAATTATACTTAGCTTTGGAGAAACTTTATCGGGAAGATTTTAAAAACCTGAACCTGTTTTTTTTTCATACTCTTTAGCAATATGCACAATTTCTAACATTTTGCATGAAAAATTAGGTTTTAGCTCTTAAAAACGAGAAAAATACAGCATTTTCTGTATGATTTTCATAATATGTGATTTAATTTTCAGTTTCTAAAAATAATTTAAATTCATTTGACGTTGGTAGGTTGTTACTTAAATATACTTAATCAGTAGATTTAAATCTAATCAGTGTCTTATTAGTAAACTTAAATCAGTAAAAGTAGATAATAATTTATAAAAAATTAATATTTTCTCCAAAAAGTTAAATTATTTTTTTAAACTCGTTTTTCTAAAATTGTGCAAGAATTTTTTTTATTAACTTTGTCAGTTACTTCAGTTTAATAAAAAAATTATTATAAAAAAGGAAAAGAAAACTTAACCACGTTAAAACCGAGTATTGAAAGGAATTATTTTAGCGGAAAATATTCGCTGGGAAAAAAAGCTTTAGTCCCTTGATGTTTTTATCAATTTTAACTTACATTACCTTTAAACTTTTTGACTAAAGAAAATTTATTATCTTATTAAGTGGCCTCAAATATATTGAAAGTGAAAAACTGCTGCTCATTTGAGCAAAATATGCGGGAAATTTTCTTTTATACTTCAGTAAGTGAAGTTAAAAATTATCAGAAAGTATAAAAAAAAATGCATTTTAAATAAATTTATTGACATGTTTAGAGATAGATCTTTAATAATAGTTTTTAAAATGTTATTTTTTATCAAACAGAAGTGAGTGTTGGAAAATCTTTATGTAAAATATTTCCCCTACGCAACTTTTGCTTAGTAAATATTTATTAAATTAAGATTTTGATTTATATATATTTTGTAACTAAAGTTTTAAAATTTTAAAAAAATTTTGCATGAAAGAACGGAAGGAAAGGATTTTTTTCTGCATTGGGTTGTGTTTTGTTTAAGGAGAAAATTGCATAATACTTAATTTCTTTGAATCGCTATTCTTTTTTTCTGCTCTAACAATTCCTTTAAAAGAAATTTTCTTTGCTGGTGAGATTTTCCAAGGCATGCAATTAAATTTTTGTTGAAAAATCAGACAGTTCAATCTTTTTTTCGTGAAGAGAAAATTTCGAAAAGTTTCCTTTGGAACACATTCATTTGTAAAGATATATTTAACCGTTCAAATTTTGTAAGCAATAATGAAGTAGTATAAAGAGATTTTTAAAAAAAAATTACATTCTATTAATTTAGCATTTCGAAATAATTTTGATAATTTGTATAAAAAAAAAAATTTTTTTTTTATTCTATGTTGTTTTTTGTAGAAATGCTCCTTAATTTAAACATTCTTAGAAGAGAACTTTAGAATTATTATTGAGAACTTTAGAATCGAAATATTAAGATTCACGAAAAAAATAAAAACAACACTAATCCAAATTTGTAGCAGGCAAATCCGGTCCATCTTGACCAAACTATTAGTAAATAAACAGTTTCTGTCTGTTTGTTTCTCTCTCTTTCTCTCTCTTTTTCTCTCTCTTGTTTAAAAAAATCTTAATGCAGAAATAATTAGGAGAAAAGTGTAAATTGTTTTTAAATGTTTTTGTTTCAGCCCTATGCGGGTATTTAAACTTCGCTCCTTTTTTCGATCTCAGCTCTAGCCATCATGTTGCATTTACTGATGAAAGAGTTAATTAAAATGTTGGGTGATCTGAAAGCTACACGGCGAAACAATTCTGCTAAAATTACCGTACTTATGGTACTGACTTTTGTGAGAAAAAAGAGCGAAATTTTGGTATTAAAAACGAAAATATAGGATAAATAAGCCATTCATTTGTTAATTTTTCCAGTCATATGCTAATGGTTTACTGTAAAATCCGGTTTTCAAAATTATAGTTATTACTAAGCATTTAGTAAAAAAAAATTCAAAGCAGAAGAGTAAATTTAATGGAATTTTCACCATGCTCTAAAGTATCATGAAATAAAAACGCATTTACCAAATTTTATCACACATTATGAAACGTTTTATTGTTAATTTTACAAGCGTTTCGGTAAAAATTATCAAGGTTTTTGCCGTTTTTATAGAACAAGAAACATGGTAAATTTTACCACATTCTGGTAGTTTCGACAATATATTTTTCTCTCGGTGTAGTTCAACTGTATCAAACCACACAAAAATAAACACAAAATAGTCTTTTTTCTTTGCTCTAGGTGGATTTCAAAGTATTTAAAATAAATATTAAAATAAAAAGAAAAAAAGTAGATGCGAAATTTAATCCAAAATAAAATATAAAATTTAAAAAAAAAAAAATTGCATCGTTTTTTTTTTCTTGCTTCAACTCTAACCTTTGGAACCCATGCCAATCAGTTTAGATCCCTCTTTATTTGTGATATTCACCTGAATTAGTATTGAAAACGATCCAGTTTGAACTGTAGGTTAGAATTTCTGATTCTTAATTCAAACAATAAAAACAAAAAAAATATCGTTCAAATGATGAAATTCTCTTTTATTCACAACTCAAGAAGTATTTATGGGATCTATCTGATCCCATGTCTCAAAAATAAACTCACCAGCTTAATGTATAACAAAATTAAATGTGAAAAAAAGAATTCTAAAAGAATCATCAAACAGTAGCGGTCGCCATAGCAACGCATGCAATGACAACGCATGCGCACTGTTTGCTATTACTCTTGAACGCAGTTAAAAAGTGTGATGACGTCCAAATAAGGTCATCAAACCCAAAACAATACCCATTTTGCCAATGGATAAAAAAAGCCTCAAATAAACATTTTTATCAAAAAAAATATACATACCCAGTCGAGTAAAATCAATGTTCTGAAAAAATTAAAAAAATATGAAACTGTTCTTCCTTACTGCTTCAAAACTGTTTGATTTACTTACTGTTCAACTGCTTTAAAGGTAAGGAAGAGTTGCAGCCAAATCTTATGAAGGCTTAAGAAGTGTCTCTAGATTCAATATAATTTGGCACACATATAGCTTGAAATGCCTAAACTTGATGCTAGGTTTATGTTTTTCAGAATACGCTGTCAAAAAGTGTTGGGAAAATGGATCGTGGTATGTCAACTCTTGGAATAACGAATGGAGTAACTACAGTGGATGTGGGCGCGTAGAGGTAACTTTTTTGACAACTATTATGCTTCTTCCTTGTGGAAGAATACTTTTAATAATTGTCATGCCTTTTCTGTGTGGAAGCAGAATTTTTCACGACTATTATACTTTTTGCGTGTAAAGACGGTACTTTCTGCGATTTTTATACTGTCTTTTACGAAAACCTCTACGATTATTAAATATTTAACATGTAGGGGAAGTAATTTTAATTGATTATTATACTATTTACGTATGAAGAAAGCGCGTATTACGATTATTATATATTTTACGTGTAAATGTAGATCTTACAAGATGTAAAAGATATTATGATACTGTTTACTGATAAAGGTAGTACACTTTACGATTATTATACTTTTTAAGTGTAGATGTAGATCTTACGTGTAAAGATATCAAATATTTTGTGCTACTGTTTACACTTAAAGGTAGTACGTTTTACGATTGTTATACTTTTTACGTACAGATTTAGAACTTTTTATGATATACCTTTTGTGCGTTGAGGCATAAAATATTTAATAATTATTGTACAATTCACGTATAAAGGAAGTACGGTTTGCGATTATTATCCTTTTTACGTGTAGAGGCAGTACTTTTAATCGATTATTATACTATTTACATATGAAGAAAGCGTGTATAACGATTATTATATTTTTCACCTGCAGTTATAGATATTACGTGTAAAGATATAACACATTTCATGATACTGTTTACGCGTAGAGGTATAAAACATTTTATGATTATTATATTATTTAAGTATAAAGGTAGTTCGTTTTACGATTATACTTTTTACGTAAAGTATACATAGAACTTTTCACGATTATTGTACTTTTTCACGTGTAGATGTGTTAAGATAACACTCTCTATGTATTTAGGTAATATTTTCCACTTGTAGAGGAAATTATTTATAGAATTTAGTGGTAGTAATCTTTATAATAATTATAGTCTTTATGTATAGAGGTAATACTATCTAGAGGAAAGTTGCCTAAGTCGTACCACTTTTAACATTTTAATTTCCATCAGTCACAAATCACTGACAGTTATATTTGGAAATATTTTAATGATAAAATTTTTTTATTAATTTAGTATATTATTTTTCTGGTTAAAATATTTTTGCAGTATTTACTAAAAATTAATTATTTTTATTAGTTCTGCATGTGGTGCGATTTAGAAAACCAGTACCGACCTAGTGAATGGGAGCAAAAATGAATAAACAAATAAATAGTGAATAAGTAATCCAAAACAAGTGTTTTATATTATAATGTAAAATACAGTACTACATTTTCTAAACTGTTCGGAGTTCAGTGAATTACATTATAAGTCAAAAAAGTTACTATAAAATATGAAAGTTAGTTGCTAGAATGCTTAATTATAACTTTTACTTGGAGTTAAAAACATAGTTAATATAAACACTCTCTTATGAAACAAATTAGGTTAAATGTTTGATAGGTTTTTCATTTACTTAGGTTTTAGGTACAAAATACAAAGCTTATTTTTAAACTATTGACTGGCACATTTTTCATGAACCCAAGTAAGCACCATATCTTCAACTGAATGAGACTCACACAGAAAACAAACCATTCGTCAAATCTTGAGAATGGGTGTATATTTTCGCGCTTATTATTTATTGTGCGCAAAATCACCGAATCACTCTAATTTAATAAATATTACGGTAAAAATTAAGGTAAAATATTTCGCGGTAAAAATTGATAAATTTTACAGAGTTATGTACACTGTTAAATTCCTCGTAAAAAATGGTTAAATAATAATTTATTTATTTTACCATATTTTTAACAAAACAATCAAATAACCATAAATAAGATGGCATTACCGTTAACTATGACAAAAACTGTTTATTAACTTCTTTCACCTAATACGGTTAAACAACCAAAATTTTATCGCACCAACTTAACACCCGTCTAACGAAGCCACTTAATTCCGTGAAGCTGGGTGCATATTAAAGCCGAGAGGGCTTATGTGTCAATCTCATGACCGACCAACAAAACGGGGGTTAGAGTACCCACATTATTTCGTCCATTCCTGTCAACATATGAAGAGTTTCCAACGCCCTGTACTCTCCAATTTGTGACCCTAGACCATTAGAATTCGATACTCTCGTTCACTCATAGATGGCAGCACCATAAAGCTGTTTAACGCAAAAAGTCTAGTATTTCCCATCTCTTACGATAGATGATACAACTGGATAAACTAATTAAATAACCGGATAATCATTTGTAACTCCACTGCGTATAACTTAAGGTAATGCCTAGCTCCAATGTCCAGCTGAATTTCCATTTTGTGGTATTGAAACCATGCTAGTTGTAAATGGTTAAAGTACTATATAAGTTTGTATTCATGATTTTTTTAACCATATTAGTTGTAAATGGTTTCATAACCGTAAAGGTAAAAAATATTTTCTCTTTCGTGAGATTTTTGAACAAATCTTAGATACTTTCGCAAAGCTGATNAAAATATGATAAATTTTACAGAGTTATGTACACTGTTAAATTCCTCGTAAAAAATGGTTAAATAATAATTTATTTATTTTACCATATTTTTAACAAGACAGTCAAATAACCATAAATAAGATGGCATTACCGTTAACTATGACAAAAACTGTTTATTAACTTCTTTCACCTAATACAGTTAAACAACCAAAATTTTATCGCACCAACTGAACACCCGTCTAACGAAGCCAAATTCCGTGAAACTGGGTGCATATTAAAGCCGAGAGGGCTTATGTGTCAATCTCATGACCGACCAACAGAATGGGGGTTAGAGTACCCACATTATTTCGTCCATTCCTGTCAACATATGAGGAGTTTCCAACGCCCTGTACTCTCCAATTTGTGACCATAGACCATTAGAATACGATACTCTCACTCATAGATGGCAGCACCATAAAGTTGTTTAACGCAAAAAGTCTAGTATTTCCCATCTCTTACGATAGATGATACAGCCGGATAAACTAATTAAATAACCAGATAATCATTTGTAACTCCACTGCCTATTATTTAACGTAGTGCCCAGCTCCAATATCCAGTTAAATTTCTTTTTTCTGGTTTTGAAACCATTCTAGTTGTAAATGGTTAAAGTACTGTATAAGTTTGTATTCATGATTTTTTTAACCATACTAGTTGTAAATGGTTTCATAACCGTAAAGGTAAAAAATGCTTTCCTTTACGTGAGATTCTTAAACAAAACTTGGATACTTTCGCAAAGCTTATTTCAAATCAGCAAGCTACAGTTCTCTCTCCCCCTAAGCTAAAGTTTTTATTTTTTAGTTAAGGTAGCCAGTTTTAGTCTTTTTTTGTAGTTTGTAAATATCATATATAACAGGGGTGCGCAAAAATGTTGCGAAAAACTTCTAGAGGAGTTAAGAAATATCACCAGGATTAAAACTGCATAGGGATCTATGCACGGAAATGTCGTTGTACGCTGCTAGGGGTGTTTCCCTATTATGTTTCTCCGTGAACAGTTTGCATTAGTAAAGCACTCCTAGCCAACATTCTCTGGCATGGGTTCCTATGCAATTTTAATCCTGATGATGTGTCCTATCTCTCCTAGAAGTTCGATGCAACATTTACTCGACACCGTGTAATACATAACGTTTTTAAATTTGTTCAGTTCGACAAAAAATAGTCTTAAAAAGTCACTTAAAAATATTATAACTCTTGAAGCAAAACTAATTTCAGATTTGAAATCCCCGCCCCTGAATTCGACAATATCAAGTATTTATATAAATCCAGCAAAAAACTTTTTCCTCAGTATTATCCATTAAATAACGTAGAAATTAATAAAATATTTAGATAAAATTAAACATTAAAATGGCTTTGTTGATTTTCCTTAGATTTCCACCGTAGTATTAGTTCGCCAACTTTGCAATCCTATTTTAATTTCAAAGAGTCTTTCTACTAGTAAATATATTTAAAGCATTATTTAAAATAACTCTCAGGGCAATTGGCATCTTTTAGAAGATAAGCTTATTTTAAGAAGAGAAAAGTTATAAATTAGATAAATGCTAAGCCAAAGAGAAAACAAATAAACAGATATGACATTGCAGGAATCTTACATGGAACGTGCCTGCTAGTCTAATGGCATCCAAAATAATCGATAATTACCTCTGGACTAAGGATTATGCTGGTTGGAGTAGTCCACGGATCCTAATATCATTTTAAAGTGGATTTTCAATTTCATGCTGAACTATGAAATGACAGCATTGAGTCATAACCTCTTTGATATCTTGTCGTTGGAATCTGTTAGTCATAGATGCTATCGATCTATCAATGCAATTTAACAGACAGTGATTTATGAATAGGGTGTTAAGGGAAGATGGGTGGAATTTATGTCTGCCCACAAGGCAGTGACGGATAAAGTTAGAATAGTCATGATAATATTAAAAGTTCTGAAATTATATATTATCATATCTGAAAGGCGATTTATGGATCTAATAGATACAGAATTATATTTCTTTTGACATTAAAATAGAATTTGTCGGTGTTGTTAAATTCTATTCAGCTCTAGAAGCTGAAATATGATATTTTAATGAACAAGGAGGGATGTAATGAAATAAAATCAATTAACGATTTCTCAACTATATAAAAAGCGATTGAGTAAAAACCGAGATAAATTAGCAACAAAAAAGAAACACGTAAATCAGCATGTAGTTATTTTCTAAAAAATCCCTAATCAAATTTACATAAAATTTAAGGGAACAATGAAATCTGATAAGCTGTTTCTTTTTTTCCAATACTCACCTGGGGAATGACCTTCCGTCCATAAAGGGATCTGAAGGGCAGATTTATTGGCCACTCTTTCAGGGGTACCATATTAGGTGGACCAACGTTGCTCCCATAGTAAGGATAGATAGTACAGGGAGTGAAAGAACATCCATGTCTTGCCCGGGATTCGAACTCAGAATCTTTCGGTTTCAAGACGAGTTCCTTGATCCCTACACAGTCCGATCTGAATCTGATAAACTATAATTTTTACAGCAATAATTATTTTAAGATCAAGAAATCGTTGGAATTAAAAAATAGTGAAGTTAAAATTACGGTATTAAATTTTGAAGTAAAAAATGGATTTTGTGTAAATGCATTTTACTGTAAAATTCTTGGAAAAATGGATTTCACGGTAAAATGGATTTTACGATGCTGCATTACAGTAGGTATTACTGCTATTTGATCCTGAATTTTATAGTCTTTTCTGAAAAAATTATAGCATAAGCAAATCAAGATGTGAAAAGTTTCTTATGGTGGGTAGTGCCACAAAGTGTTCAGAGTCGATGTTAAGAAACGAAGTGGTGAAAAACTTGAATCAGTAGCTGACAGAGAATTTTTGGACAAGCCACCAGAAAAGCTGTTTCCAAATAAAACGTAAGAAGTAGAAAGTTTTAAAAAATTGACGGATGAGATTAGCTTGATAGCCCTTAAACAATGAAGAAAAAAAAGAAATTAACACTTACCACCTTCAATTTTGTGAGAAATAGTCCGTTAAATATATGCTTCAAATGAAACACTTTTAAGTCGCGACAAAGAGCAAAACAAAAAGAGGGACATCTTTCTTACCCTTAATCTTATTCAGAATGGTAGATAAACTTCAGAAATCAAAGAGGACTTATGGTAAGTTTTTTTTAAAAAAAAATGGATTCCGAACAAAATAAAACTTTTCGAAAGTAGGAATGATATTCATTAAACTGATGTTTAAATTAAGAAGAATCCAATGTAAAGGTAAAGATAAAGGAGAAAAAAGCACAAAGATAAATTTTAACTCTTATAAAATTAAACTAGCTAAAGTTTTAGAAAAATTAGATGAAAAGAATTAAACTAATGAATAATTGCAACATTACACTAAAAGTGCAACGCTGAAAGGGTGTTCTCTGTATGTTTTTGTTACTTATTTATTTATTTTTAGCTCACTGTACAACACAGATATACTCTTATGCTTTATTTTTCTGAATATATGCAGCAATGTGTGCTAAAATAAACATATTTTGTTCTCATTTTAAAGATTTTTGTTCATAATGTTTCATTATTGTTCTTAGACTGCAAGAAGAATGCTGCATTTTCACATAAGTACATATATTGTCTCAATACTTTCATTATTGCCAGCTCTCATCATTTTTGCCACGTACAAGTAAGTATTGTCCTTATTTTTTATCTAACAAAAACAATTGTTTTTTTCCTTTAGAATGAGAAAATCATTTCAGCTAATGAATCATTTTCTATGCTTCTTCTGAACATATAAAAAGTAGTTTTGTTAAAACAAATGTTTCAAATCTTTCTAATCTTATTTAATTAACAGTGATTGCTAGGTTTAGCATGCATAAATATTTAGGGCAATACTTCTTCTGCGCTGACGATTATTATAATTGAATGATTGACGATTATTATTATTGATGATTATTATCATTGAAATTTATGTAACATTGTACTGAGAATAGGGGCTTGTTTTGTGGGAGACTAGTAAAGAAGACCTTAAAAATTTATTAGTATTTTATTAGTCCTTCTAAATTTTATCAGCAGAAGCTCCCAGAAAATATTACTATTCGCAGCACTCAATCACAGCTCAAATAACAGGGTAATACAGCACAACACGAGTTTCAAAACATCTAGAGGGGAGGGGGGGAATGAATTAATATTGGTCAGAATAATACTATAGTCACAGGCAGACTATTCTCTACCAAGATTCACGATTCGCATGATTGCAGAATCTCGGCGTCTGATGCCAAAGGCAGCACTTCCCGATTCGTTGTTATTATATGAGTCGAGTAATTAAGAGCGATATAAAATGTGAGTAAAAATGAAGACGAATAAAGGACAAAGGGGGGATGCACGCAGTTACAATTCTAGAGGTCAGAAAGACCACACCAGAGCTTTCGTGTGTATTAGCATCCAAAAGGGTTAATGACTGTGTATGAAACATGAGATGAACAATTAAAATAATTCTGGTTAAATAGGGTAAACCAACCAGTGAAGGAACACTACCCAGTGAAAGAACATTTCATATATATTGATTAAAAATAAGAATTCGAAAGCTTTTCTTTAGATTGATTGGTAACAATAGCTTACTGCCAAACAATAGGAAGTCATCTAGCAATGTTTTGGATTACCTGGTCACATAGACTTCTCTGGAAAAAGTTTTGAATTCGTTATTATCTTTACAACACCTTGTTTCTTTGAAAAAATTATAAAGTCAGTGTTTGTATTTATATGTTTGAAGTGGAACAACTTCTAACCAGTGAGGAAACAGGCATGTTCCTTTACTGGGCATAGATTTCCCAGTGAATGAACAGTATGTGTTAATATGTTGACACTTTAATTTTCAATTCATGATTACAAAAAAAAATTAAAATTTTCAAAGTATTTATATGGTATAATTTCAAGAATAGCTCTGTTTTTAAATATTTGCATGGCCTATAAATTCATAAAGAGCATTAAAAAATAACCAAAATTAAGTGTTTTGTTACTGGGTTTTCATTCACTGGCAAGAGCTGTTCCTTCACTTGGTCTTCTTACTACTTGTTATTTGAACCTCCAAAACTTTAAAACAATATTATGTAAGTTCTCTACAATTTTTTTGACATAATTTGCAATTAGTAACATATATGTTGACACTGTAATTTAACTAAAATTACGAATTTTGAAATTGATATGATTTTTTAAACGGCAAGCGAAGCTTAAGTGTTCCTTTACTTGTTAGTTTACCCTAAGAGGCACCAAAAACGGACTATATACACGGTAACGTGAAAGATGAGAAAAAAGAACGTGAATGTATGTACAATAAGATTAAGGCTAATACAAAAACACGTGTGACGGGCTAAACGTGAAAATTGAGGAGATGACTAAACAGAGGTCGCATAAGGGATCTAACATGGGGACTCTTTTCCACCCACGATTGTCCGCAGCTTCAGTAAAAGGTTACTAGCCTAAATTAAAAAAAGAAAAAATCGGAAATGCGTGACGAGTTAGTAGTTGTTTGAGAGTTTCTTTTTAAGTGAGTCAGGGAGTGTAGTAACGAATGGAGATGAGTATGTCAGAAAAGGTCTAATACAGGGTTAGGCAAACTTCTTTGGTCAAGGGTTAAAAAACGAGAGAAAAAAGTTTGGTGGGCCAAGTAAAAACATCAACAACAAAAAAATTGATGTACAAGTTTTAATTTAAATATTCAATGAGATGAATGAAATTGCTATTTCATTTTTAAAAGTTTCTTACATTGTGGTTCCAAATTAGATGTAATTATTTTAAGGAACGAGGACAAATCTTTGTTTGTTAGTCTACTGTTTTTCTACTTCTGAAATGATTTTTCTGAGGTCAATAGTTGAAAAAACTTGTTCACATATGTAAGATGAAACAAACATAGAACTGACTTTCGGGGTATGAAATATTAAATTAGGGAAACTAGCTTTTGGTAATGATTTGTAAAACTCATACTCTGGCAAACTTAGAAAAAACTGTTTCAGATGGCGCCAATCTACGGCTACTCTTTGAGGAACTTCTGCTTTCAATATTTTACCAATTGAAACCGTCTGAGCTAACTATTTTCATCAATTTATGTTTTGTAGAACTGAAGTAGAGAAAATAAAGGGTCATCAGTGCTTTGTTAAAAAAGAAATAACAAAAATAACTTTAAACAAAGTAGACAAGAAAATGAATTGGCAAGTTAAAATTCTATCCGCGGGCCGGATGAAACCTTCTGGCGAGCCACAGTTAGCCCGCGGGCCGTAGTTTGCCCATCCCTGGTCTAATACATTGCGGATAAATGAATCTCTTGTTTTTGATATTGAGCTGACTGTATTGATTGAGAATAGGTTTTAATGAATGCTTCCAGTGATGGCAGGTCGGTGTGAATTCCGCACTCGGCTCGCACAGACCATATTGTCGACGTAATATATCCTCTGTAGTAGACGGATCATGGGTTAGAGTCCCTTTGCTGTCAGGCTAACCGTAGGAGGTTTTAGTGGTTTTCCTCTCCATGTAACGCAAATCAGGATTATTTTCATCAAAAAGTCCTCCACAAAGGCAAATTTCATACTTGATCCAGGAGTCCACGTGTCTTCTGAATTGAGTTTAAAACTACAAGGCTTAGGAGTTGAACATTAGTAGTAGTAAACCCAAAATTGGGTAGGCTGTTCAATGACGTTTATGAAATAAAAAATAGTCAGCTCTGCCTGTTGATAAACTTTGTAACTATTTTTGAATTTTGGTGATAATAGCTAACTTAGTTAATTAAGCAGAACTCAGAAGACTGTACTTATTTTAACGACTGGTCGATTTTCTTTAATTTAATATTTTTTTAAAATTTATATTTAATACGTCAGTCATTTTTTGGACGCTCGATAAAATAAAGTGCATGCAAATTATTTGTAAATAATATTGTTTAATAATGCACTACATTTGAAATGATAAATGTAGTGCGATAACTGAAAGATAAAAACAATTAAATTTTAAAATTATATCTTTCATTATTGGAAAAAATATCCAATTATCTTAGGGAATCTTAAAGAAAGAAAGAAATTCTTGCACTTCTATTTGCTTTTCAGCAAATAAAGGGAAGAAAAAAATTTATCAAAATGTTTTCACTGAATTATACGACTTTTTTCTATAAATGAACTCCAAGAGATTTAAATGATTTATTTAATGATGCTTTTTTTGTTCAGTAAGTAGTTTTTTTTTAATGTTTATTTTTTCAAAGTTAATTAGAAATTTTTGCGGTAGAAACAGTATTTGTTTAAGTTTAAACATGTAACTTAAACTGATGCAACTAATTAGTTACTTTATTAAGTTTAGCTCTTGAAGTTACACAGTTTTTATTCAATACATTATTCATTAGAGTGTACTTTAACAATTTATTTTTATTTAACTTCAATTTTTTTTAAATGTTCTATTTATTTTTCAACTTTGTTATTCAGATATTACTTTTGCTGCGATTTAACTTTAGAAAATTATTATTATTTATTTATATATATATATATATATATATATATATAGGATATTATGCAAATTAATAAAGTTTCAGAGCCATCGCGCGTGCGTGGCGCGCGCAGCGCCCTCTGAATTGATGCTGAAAGCGTATAAATAAAGTGCTGTAGCGGGACGTTGAAAATAGTCTATGATTATTTGTTAGTGGCAAACGTTTAGTGAGACCTGAGTATGCCTCCACGACGGAAGAATAAGAAATTCAAGCAACTTACGGAGTTTGAACGAGGGAGGATAATCGGCCTTCGAGAAGGAGGATTTTCCTATCGCGCAATAGCAGCTCGTATGCAGCGGAACAGTTCCACAGTGATGCGAGTTTGGA